GGATATTTTTAATAATTTTCTAAAGTTATAAATTAGCTTATTCAGTGAAAAGACAGGAAGTCACAGGATTGCAGTTCTTAGTAACATTTGGATTAATCCTATGCAGAGCCTTAGATGTTCAAGAAATAAGAACAGTGGAGAAAACACACTACATACTACCTAAGCCTTGTAGAAATTATTAACATTATAATTGGATTTATAAATTTAAAAAATGTTTTGCCGTTTGGGGAGCATCTAAACTATCTTATCCTTGTAATTTGTGAATTTTCTTTTGTCTTAAAAAAAAACCAAAAACACCAAATTTATCTAGATCTATAAATTTATTTCTCCATTCTATATACTAATAGTTATTTGCTCTAGTTTGCTAGGTGTTGATAAATTATTCTCATATGCAATCACTGAATGGCTTAATGACATTAAGAAGAACCAGCTACCAGGAATCCTGGGAGGTGTTGGGCCTATGCATTCACTAGTACAATTAGGTGAGTTTTCTTTTCTTTAATCAAAAGGTCATTTATTTTGCCTTATCAGTGATTCTTAACCCTTTGGGGGTTATAGATGCCTTTGAGAGTCTATGTGAGGACCATCTTTCTAGAAAATCTGCATGTGTACTCACACAAAACTTTGCCTCCAGTTTCAGGAGTTAGAAACCTCAGGGTTGGAATGAGGATGGTGGCAGAGGTCTGAATTCCAGCACTTGAATTGATTTCTGTGTGTTGTCTCTTCTAGTGCAAGGCCTGAAGGACTTGGTCTGGTTACCAATAGAGCAGTACCGGAAGGATGGCCGCATTGTCAGGGGATTTCAGAGAGGCGCTGCTTCATTTGGTACCTCCACAGCAATGGCTGCTCTAGAACTCACAAACAGAATGGTTCAAACTATACAGGTATCTTTCCTTAGACCGCTGTAATCTATACAAAGAAGAAGAGCCATTGTAAAACAATTGGGTTGTTTTTAAAACAGTATTGTGGAAATATATAAAATGTTGAGAGTAGATATTTTATTTGTAGTGATTTAATATTATGCTTGTTTTATTGCTTAGCTGTCTAGTGTTAGATAATTAACAGACTAAAGCAGTGGAAAACAGTGTCAAATTTGTTTGCCTATTTCAGGTAAATTGTAACCATTAAAGTTAGTGGAGGATTTATTTCACCACATGTGCATGAAGAGATCATGGCTAAATTTTAAAAAGGGCATGTGAGTCCTTCTGCTGTTCTTCCTCACTCCCTGCAGGAAGTGCACTGTTGGTGCCCAGCTCTCCAGACTTTCTTCTAATTCATTTCTTTCTTCTGAAAAAATGATCCAGGCAGCAGCAGAGACTGCATATGACATGGTGTCTCCTACTACCCTTTCTATTGAGCCCAAGAAGACCAAAAGGTTTCCTCATCACCGGTTAGCCCACCAGCCAGTGGACCTGAGGGAAGGAGTGGCCAAGGCCTACAGTGTTGTGAAGGAGGTAGGTGAAGACGTGAGTGGACACGTCAGGACCGGTTTGCATGCTCTCCCACCTTTCACCTAAAAGCATTTACGGTTTTAATTTATGTGCGAGAAACCCCTGGGAGTGAAATCAGAACTGCTACCAGTGGCGTAAGGTGCCACCAACAGCATGAGTGAGAGAAGAGGGCGAGGATGTGACTGATAGGGCCACACGAGGAATGGCGATTAGGTGGACAGACTGATCTCCCTCTTTACATCCAGAAGCATGCCAGGAATGATGGAAGCAAATGCCCATGGACTCTTCATCTAGATTTAACACTTATTTATACTTTGCTTTATTTATCTCTGTAGTGGAGCCAGGATTGGAACCTGGGTAATTGGGTCTAAACTTCAGTTCTCTTTCTCTAAAACTGTCAATAGGAAGAATGAGGAAAGGGAGGTGAGAATAGTAAGCAGGGATCGAGATGGTAGGGTGTGCTTGATTAGACTGAATCTGAATTCCAAATAAAAAGATTTTTTTAAATAGAGGTTTCTAAATGGTGATAAATATTTCTTTCTCACTTTAGATGTAAGTCAAAGATGAAGAGAAAATGTCTCATATATTTCACAGATAGGCTCATCCTTCAGATCAGTAACAACAAACTAGCCTGCAGGTCAATTTTAAAGGATTGTAGAAAAAAAACCAAAAACAAAGAAGAATATATGATAGTGACTGTGTGGCCCACAAATTTCTACTATCTGGCCATTCACAGAAAAAGTTTACCAAGCCCTACTTTTCATAATTCTGTTTGGTGGTGGTCAGGTAGTTGTGAGGGTTACAGTAGTTCTCTAGGAATTATTTATTGGACAATTGCTGTCTTCCAAGATGTGTCAAGCTCTTTAGATGAATTATTTTATTTAATTCTAACAGTCACCAAAGGAGGTGGGCAGTATTTTAATTTACCGTTTAAAGACGTCTAAGGTCACACAGCTGAGTGATGGAGCTGAAATTTGAATTTATTTCTGTGGTTTCCAAACTTGGGGGTGTTAATCATTATTCTATAATAAACTAACACCTGTTTATTATTAGTGGGATAGGGAGGGGGACCGGCACAGAGGGGAGGAAGATGATGCAGAGAAATGTATAAATTGTGAGCATTTTCTTTACTGTGCTCAGTTTCTCTTATTGGCTATTATCTTCTAGATATGAGGGGTCTTCGAAAAGTTCGTGGAAAGGTTTGCATTATCTTTTAATTCTATTTTTCCACAAACTTTTTGAAGTACCCTGTCCGTTTTAAAAATAGCACTTCCATTTTTTTTTTTTTTAGTTTTTCTGAACTTCATTTCATTTATTTATTTTTATGCCCATAGTATTACATGTTTTTGCATGCTGCACTGAGTGAAATGATATTCTTGTTAGCTTGCCAAAGGGATGATTAGGTTCAGGATTAGGGCAATGTCATTGATTTCCCTGGAGAAAATCATTGAATTTCTTCCATCATTGAAGCTGCCACAGTGGAACTGTGCTTCCTGTCTCCAGAGATTTTTAAGTTAGATAAATTGTGGAGTTTTGAAAGTCATGTGAAGTTTTACCGCATTGGCTTGACCTACATGTTTAGCTTCAAAGTTAGCAATTATGATTATCTTAAGGTTATATAGTTATAAGAAAGATGGAATATGATGTAGAAGCTTTGTCTCTAATTATTGAACATGTTCCTGCTTTATGTTCTCATAATTTTTTCTCTGTTTAATACAATAAAATATTCTATTTAGCTTTTTATCATAATTGAATGTTCCACAGTTATCTTTTTGAATACATGGCCAGTAATTTAAAACAAATTAAATAATTTCCTAGAGCTTAGTAGAATTAAGTTTTCTTGTACTAAATCAAAGGAGCTATCACCATATTCCTTTAGTGGGTATATTTATTCAAGAAGCTTTGTTTGCTAAGTTTGATTTAACTGGAGTGATTAATAGTTCCAGAAAAGCTACTTTTATATCATTAAATATTTCCGTAAGCTTCCGTATGTGAAATTGTAGTGTAGCTACATTTTCCATAGATCAGTGTCATAATAAAATACTAAATCACAATAATTGCCTGTTTCCCTTATAAATTAGAATTTTGTCATAAAAATAATTATCCTGGTTTTCTCAAAAGCATTTTTTTCTTTTAGTTACAAACATAATGATTAACTGTTCTAAAAGTGTATTAAAGGATAAGTTTTAGAGTTTTCTGACCAGTAATTTACTCTCCTTCTCTCCTCCTGCCTCCTACCCTCTGCACAGGGAATCACAGACACAGCTCAGACCATCTATGAGACAGCAGCTCGAGAACACGAGAGCAGAGGGGTAACCGGTGCCGTGGGTGAAGTCCTGCGCCAGATTCCTCCGGCCGTGGTGAAACCTCTGATTGTTGCCACAGAAGCCACATCAAATGTGCTAGGTGGCATGAGAAACCAAATTAGACCAGATGTTCGGCAAGACGAATCACAGAAATGGCGCCATGGGGAAGACTGATGTCTCCAACATGACAATTAATGAAGATAATGAGGGTGGCTACAAAGAGCCCAGTGTCCCACTGGCAGCTTTAGCGGAAACTCATTTAATTTTATTGTGCTCATCTCAGGAACAAAAGCATTTTTTAGTTAAATAATTTGATATCAAGACAACATGCAACCAAAAACTTCTGACATTTTAGGGCTAGTTTAGTACTTGCCTGTAGAAATGTTTGGTGGCTGGGGTCAAAAATCCTTAAAGCATTTGTTGCCAAGTTAGGGGAATGCTTATATTTATTAAAATAACTATAATTCTCCTTGTTACAGCTGAGATATCATTAATGTTTGGTGGCTGGGGTCAAAAATCCTTAAAGCATTTGTTGCCAAGTTAGGGGAATGCTTGTATTTATTAAAATAACTATAATTCTCCTTGTTACAGCTGAGATATCATAGGAAACCTCTTTCTACAGTGTAGAGTGCTCAAAAAACATTTGAACATTCTTAAAGCACTATTTGTGTAATTCTGGGGAGTTGGTTTTTCCTCAAGGTTTAAAAAGAATCACAGCTTCAAAACTTTCATTGAGAATGAGAAACAAGCCACTGGGGAAGCAAAGCAAGTAGGATTTTCCATATAAATATCAGTGTGAAAATATTAGCCAACTCTGTTGGATTTAGTGTTCATGCACTTGAGAACAGCACTATTTCCATTTACTAGAACATCCTCCTGTGGGGGTTTGGGAAAGTGAATGTTGCAGACGTGTTCTGTGGTGTTGCACTTTATCCTCTGTGTGTGTGTGTGTGTGTGTGTGTGTGCGCGCGTGCGTGTGCGTGCGCTTTGGATTAATACAAGTTATGTGCTATATTCTTTATGTAATTTACAAAGTTACACAAAATATAAAGAGGAGTAAAATCATTTGAAAGTTTTTGGCAAAAGAAGGTAACCCAAATGTAATAGTTTCCTTTATTGTAAGTGTAAATGAAAGTGTGCATTCTCTCATGAACTGGGGCCCATTTGGTTGTTTATATGTTTGATTTTAAGCAGGTATAGTGCAAGCTAGTTAGGAATGTGTGGAAAGAGAGATTGGAAGTGGTTTTTATTCTTTTAAAATTAACCAGAAGTCCTCCAGATATGCCCTAGTCAGCTATTTCAAAGTACCATTTTTACTTGGTTAACAATGTACATTTTGATAATCTGACAGGAATGAATAAAGTATTTTTATTTAAAGGTACAATTGTTTAATGCTTCCATGAATATTTTGCTTTTCTTAGAGCATATTCATAGGTGCAATACTATGATTTACCCCAAGATATTTTGGAACACTTCCTCAAAATCGATTTTGGTTAATATCAAGTAAATCATTATCTAGGAGAAGAGGGAAATTGTTCTCAATCCCAGACTTTAGATTAGCAGAAAGAAAATGTGGAGTTTTGTATTCATCTGCTGTTTAAAGTTGTGTGTTATGACTTCTCATTTTTTAAAGTAGGGGGAATATCATTGAGGTAAATTTGGATTTCAGAACTGCATGTCAATTTGGGGTTTAGAAATGAAGTTAAATCAGTTTCATTCTTTAAATTTTATAGGAAATTAAAGCAGGAAAAGCAATGTAAACCAAAAATCCAAATGTTTAAAATTTATAAACATAGTGTTATATAGTATCCAATTTAATTGTTATTTTATTTCCTTTTTATTGCTGGAAAATTTTAAAAGGCATTGCTCAGAGGAACCACCTGTTTAAGCATCATGGAACCATTTGTTACTCTGTCCCTATTAAATGGGGTCCATATAGCGTGTGATCCTGACTAAACGCTAACAGGTTATAACAGGCTCATCCTGCTTCTGGGGCACATTCTGACCACCCTGCCCATCAACCCCAGTATTCTTCATGCTATGTATGATACTGGTTATGATTAATCAAACTGAAAAACACTTGATATAACTTAAGAATTTTAAATCTCTTTAACTTTTAAATATACTTTCTATAGTTATACTTAAGTTCAACTAGATGTAGTATAGAAATAAATAATTTATCTTTCTCTTGCGTTCTGAGTCATAAATAGACCCTTTTAACAAATTTTCTAAATCCCATTTAAACACATATCTTTATAATGTAATTTTCATAGTTCTTTCTCTGTTTTGTCCTCCTGCACCTGCTGCTGACAGAATCATCATTTGGTAACAAAACCTTGTGCCTCAGAAAGATTGTCTCAAGGGTCTATTCATTGTCAGATTAGCCAAGATGCTCTTTACTTGACATGTTTGTAGAGGACCTATCTATATTTGAACACTTCTACACTATTAGGTATACTTAATTTTTTTAAAAGTGTCTTTTCAAACTTTTGTCTTTTTGACATAGTAAAAAGAATGTTGTACAGGATCCTTGGGTTGCCATATCTGCAACTTACCAAGTGGACAACTTGGCCAAGACTTAACCTCTCTAAGCCTCCATGTCCCTCTCTGTAAACAAAGGGGTTTCTTATGACAAAGTCCAGTGGGCATTTTTGGATGATGAGGCCATGCATGCGTGTGTGTGAATGATGGTATGATGGTATGTGAAATAATGCTCAGTACAGTGGCCCAGGCCTATGACGCCTCAGACTGGTACACACGTCCCACATGGAGCAGCTGTGTGCTACTTTAGAACAATCCATTTCTGCACTGTCACAGTGCCTGCGTGGTTGAGTTCTGTGATCCCTCTGACCCAAGCAGACTGCACATATCTTCTTGTTGCTCTGCTGAGTCCTTATAGTTGTCAGTCCAAGGAGTCCAGGTAAGCAAGCTTGATCCAGATCTGTCAGCAAGTTTCAGAACCTCACAGTGCTATCACCACATTAAGACCACTGTACATCACAAGTAGAAAGGCAGAGAAGGCCATGGCATTGTCTTCTCAAATGGGGCTGATTTGGAACCCCCAATTTTCCCTTTCTGTCTGTCCTCAGCTTGCTGTAATTTACAAGAAAAAAGTCCACTGAACATTTGCATTTAAGATAGATAAAACACAATGTTTCTTCTTGATATCATAGCAGTAGACTTTCATTTTAATGAATGTTGGGTACAAATTGGATTTCCACTTAAGTACATATATTTGACATCAATATTTTTATAATGCAAAACTCAGTTTAAGAAAAAATAACCTTTCCATGAAGCAGTGTGCCTAAGATGGCAAAATACTAAAAACCTGTGTTTCTTGTCTTCTGCTATATGTCACTTTTAGATGCTATTGAAATATTTATGGCTTTGAGGGAATTACTTTTTAACCATCTCCTTTAAAAACTGTTTTGTAAGTTTGGTGGCTTTCGTTCAGTTTCAAAAAAGTCCAAACAACTACGTCTGCCCCTGCAGAGGCTATATGTCCAAGGGCGGTGTGCCCCCTTCAGGTGTCCTTTGATTTGTGTCCTTTGCACTGTGTGTACTCACCAGAGTGGAGGGACAGCAGTCAGAGTTGAAATTTAAAGTAGTGATTTCAAATGAGGAATCCACACTTGCACTAAATGGTTTCAGGATTTTGTCTTAAATTTTACATATGTAAAAAGCATGACAAGAAAAATCACTCAACTTTGCTTCAGTTTGCTTACACCTGCACTGAGTGTAATTCCTCAGACCCGGGGGCGGGACGTGTGGCAGGGCTATGAGGAGCACCCCTTACCTTTTTTCCTTTACTTCTCTTGACCTACACTTAGGACATCAGAGAGAAGTCCATAAAGTCCTTTAAGTTCCTTGAAAGTAAGGGACTGTCCAAACACAAAGTGATATTGTTTTGTATTTGCAAATGCATCAAGTGGACATACCAATTCATATCAAATAGAATAAACCAGATACAAATTTTTGAGTCTTCGATTAAAAGGAAGATCATTTGTATAGTATAGATAATGAAGGATAAAAAGATTTCTTTTTCATTATCGGGGAATCTTATTTTTGTTTACTGGAAGATATAGTCACTCTTTTCATATAAGAAAAACGTAGTGTTTTCATGTCAACTTACATTTATTTCAACATTTTCAGGATCCTTTAATAGACCTTACATGCACAGTTGCAAGTCAGCCAGTTTTACTCAGAATTGTTTTCATCATAGTGTCTGCAAATCAGATAGAAAAAGCATTCAAACACAACTACTATGATAGGCTTCTTTTGGGATGAGAATTTGTTTCAACAATTCGTATTTTGAAATGTCAGCAGTTTTTGTAAATGTAGGTGTTAGAGGTTATTTTGGCCTCCTACAACACTGGCCCCTTGGTTTCAAGCATGTTGCTTTATAGTACACACCAGAGTGCTGTCTGCTGTATTTCAAGAGATTGTAAATGTGATATCAGCTGGCTTGACCACATTCTGATATCCCTGGTGGTTGAAATAGCAGCCCCTCCCTTTAAAATGTTTACTTTGCTGTTTCACATGTGTTTTGTATGTATGAAATGGCAGCTTCCAATTTCTAATTGGATTTGTCTTGCATTGTTTGAGTATAACTTGTTGGTCCCACAGGACTGTTTGCTTTTTCATTGAGAAATTTGTTAGGGGCGTCAAGTTCAGTTTTTATGTTGATCCCAGCCTTACTTATTCTAGACACTGAGTTTAACTCACCACGAGTAAAAGAAAAATTTTGTGTACATTGACTGTCATCACTAAGTTTCCTAATTATCATAACTATAGATGTGAATACTTCAAGAATACTGATGCTGTACAAGATGTTGATCCCAGCCTTACTTATTCTAGACACTGAGTTTAACTCACCACGAGTAAAAGAAAATTTTTGTGTACATTGACTGTCATTGCTAAGTTTCCTAATTATAACTATAGATGTGAATACTTCAAGAATACTGATGCTGTACAAGTATTTTTGTGGCAATGTAACTTGTTAGTGTGACTATTTAAAATATTATAAAATTAAGAATACTCTTGAAAGAAATTAAAATATTTGCTCTTTGGATTTTGCTTTAAATACTATTGTCTTTTGCCAAAAACTGTTCCTAAAGCCTGTATAAAATACTTTTTGAGGTGGGGGGGTAGGTCTATGACAGACACTCTTATTTGGAAATGATGTTCCTATGATCCTGGTATTTCTGAGTGCAAATCTTGTATCTATCTGCCACCAGTTTTTGAGATATGTGGGGTATATAATGTTAAAATTTGCCACTTCTCCCCTTTTGGATATTAATCCACTATATTAGTTATTTTATCCCAACAGTGTGGACTTGTGGCAAGTACATCTTGTAGTTTTGGTCTTATGGACCTAGATAAATACTTGATAAATCTGTTCTATTTGGAGGAATATTTTACTTATAAAAGGAATATATTAAAAACTTACGTATTTTAAAAGACAAATGACTTTAAAAGAGGTTTCGATGTGACACATGTCACATAACCGCCCACCTTGAACAATCAGGGGAAAATGACAAGTCAATTCACACACGGCTCTTGTGAAAGAGAGGGAAGGGGACATTTGTGAGGTGCTTATTGTGTGCCAGGTATTCTAGTGTATTCTTTACATAATCTCATAGCTCCCTGAGAGGTAGTTACTACAGTCTCTTTTCCAGATGAGGAGACGAGTTCAGAGAAGTCAAGAGGCTTGCTCAGGTTCACATGGTTTGACTCCCAACCTCATGCTCTTTCCAGTACTTCATTGAAGAGCAACTTGAGCAGCTGTCTAATGTAGTGGAAACTTCACTAATTAGGAAACTAAGTAAGGAATTGTACTAGAAGATTGACGTTAAAGGCCCAAGATCTTTGAGCCAAAAACAGCTTGCTTGGTCTTCACACCTGCATCCCCAGCCCCTCTGCCCTCTCCTGGCTGTGCCCCAGTCACTGCTTGGTCAGTTCTGCCGTGTGCCAATGAGCAAGGGGCTAGAGCCACCTGGTGAATTTCCTTCTTTAGATTCTGAAGCTCAGGCCCCGCTCAACACTAATAAATCAAAATCTGAGAGAGGGGTAAAACAGGGTCTCTCCACCTCCGCACTTGACGTCTGGGGCAGGATAATTCTTTGTTGAATGGGACTGTTCTGTGCGTTATAGAATGCTTAGCAGCATCCCTGTCCTCCACTAACTAGATGCCAGCAGCAAACTTCCCTCCCCCAACCGTGAAAACCAAAGATGTCTCCAGACATGGCTGAATGTCACCTGGGGGGCAAAACCCCCTCTTAAAAACCACTGGGCTGAAAGCTGTCCTGGGGAAAGTCATGTGCAGCCTGTGGAGAGCACAAGTGCCTTAGCAGCTGTCCGAATCCCTTTCTTAGAGTCTGGATGCTCTGCCGGGCTCCTCTACATCTCAGCTTAAAGGTTTCCATTTCCAGACAGGCCCTGCCGCCCTACCTACCTCTTTATTCTTCATTGTGGCGTAACCCTCTTTCTTTTTTCTTTTTAAACTTTGTGTAAAGCCACCCCCAAAGAAGGCCCTCATCATAACTGTATATATATACATTGCTTTGCCCAGAGTAAGGAGTCAGTGAATGGTGAATGAATGAATGAACTCATGAACTTTAGTGGTCATTTAGTCCCATATAGTCACTTTGCAGTTGAGGAAACTGAAGCCCAGAGAGGGGAAGTTATTTGCCCAAGATCGCATGGTTAGTACTTAAAGATGTCCTTTATTCAATGTAATTTCACTTTTTCTTGGTTTTAGCAATACTAGTAACAATTTTTAAATATGAGTATACGTGAAATAAAAGTTCAACATTTGTTGAACATTTACTAAGTGACAACTGCACAGCACTCAACACGTTCAGTATCAAGCAGGGCCCTGGCAGGAAATGCAGCCCCTAGGGGCGACGGGCAGCCATAGGGAAGGAATTGTTTACAGAGCACGGGCTGGGTATGGTGAGGGAAACCCATAGGCACCTCATGGGTGGACTCCGGGCCAAGTAGAGATTTGGTACCTCTCCTCTAGTCCACGTTCATCTTTGGGCCTGTCCTGGGCCTCAGACAAGTGAGGCAATGGCTCTCTGGGAACAGGGTGTCTCTCCTCCTTCCCCATCCCATCTCCTGAGATTGAAATACCGCTGAGACCCACCCACCACAGGACTGAAGGGACCAAGGGAGAGGGGATTCACAAAGCTGCAGCAGAAGCAGGGGCTCCTGACAGGAGCTATGGCCCTAGGCAGGTGAAGTAGCCAGAGGGATAAATCTCCACTCTCACTCTCCTACCCTCACATCTCCTGTGGAGCCTCCCATAGGTCAAACCCACTCATGTCCTGTCCATAGGGCCCAGCCTCCTGGTGCGGAGTGCAGGGGAGGGCAGAAGAGAAGGGAGAGGGACTGTGGAGGGGCAGTGAAGACCTCCAGCACTCATGCATTGTCTCATTTGCATGTGTATCTTCATTCTGCAGGTGACCGTCAGGCTAGGGCCCACAGACCCTTCAAACCCATTGTACAGACTGGGTCACAGACCCCTCATAGGCAAACTGGGTCACCAGTCCTCTCTTATGCCGGCTGGGTCACCAGACCCCCTCACATACAGGTCGTGAGCTAGGTAATTGGGAAAAGACCCCAGGAGCCGTTGGCTGACGACACAAGCTCAGTCCTCAGCTTCCTCAGCAGCAGCAGCAGCTTACAGCAGCCTTCAGCAGATCCACAGTAGCAGCAGTGGCCTCCCGGAGCATCCCAGGGGCTCTGGCAACAACAGCCTTCAGTCACAGCCTCCAGCAGCAGTAGCAGCTTCCCTGTGCACCCCCCACCCCCGGGCATCCCAGGGGCAGGGGGCACTGTGGATCAGAGCTACTCATCATTTATACTTAAGTCTGATAACCCCGGGAACACTTGGGTGGAGTCAGACAACCAAAGAACACCTGGGTGCACATGCACAATTACATTAGACAATAACCAAGGAACACCTGGGTGCACATGCTCAGTTATGTTTACAGCAAATGCTCGGCAAGATTCCAAACCCCTGAAGGATCCTGACCATTTATCCATTTCATTTTCCCTTACAGTGACAAAACTGAGCCTTCGGATATGTGACCCATCCCAAACCATATTTAGTACTTGTTAAGGAACACTAGTCAGTAATGACAGCTAAACCCCCAAATCTCAGCAGCTTTAAAAAAGAGAAGTTTCTCATTTACATAAAGTCCAGTCTGGCTCTTGAATACCTGGCAGCTTTCCTTCAAGCAGTAGGGGAGGAACCCAGGCTCCTTCCATCTTGTAGCTCTGCATTCCCTGGAGCCCCCATATCCTCAGCTGGGACCTCTGCAGGTGATAGGGAGGAGGACTGCTTTTATGGCCAGCCCCAGGAGAGGCAAACATCACTTTTGCCTATGTTCTACGGGTCAGAATCCTGTCACAGCCCAGTCCAAGGGAACCTGGGTAGTGAAATCCAGCTATGTGCCCAGGAAGGAAGGAAATTGGAGCTAGGGAGTACCTCATCAGACTCTGCTACCTGCAACTCATAACCAACCAATTTAGAATCTGGATCCAGGAATGTCTGACTCCAGACCCATGCTCTTAGCACATACTCTATTGGAATTACAATCAGCTGCACTCAAATAATTTGCTATTGCCAGAGGGAGGATTTTTTTTCTCCTAGGCTCTCTTGTCTATATTCCTGAAATCAGTTCCACATGGAGCAAACCAACTACATTGAGCAAACATTTGCTGGGGAATGAGCAGGATAGTACAATGCAGTGGTTCTGAACACTTGTCTGCACATTAGAATTACTGGGGGATTTTTTAAAATTCTAAAGCCCGGGCCACATCCAAGACCAATTAAGTCACAAAATCTGGGGTGTATTTTTAAAGCTCTCCAGGTGACTCTTATGTGCAGGCAAGTTGGGAACCACTGGTACAGTGGCAAAAAATGTAGATTTTAGAGTTGGGCTACCAGGGGCTGAAGCCAGGTTCTGCTACTTGTGATTTGTGTGGCTCTGGGGAAGTTACTTAACCTCTCTGTGCTTCAGTTTCCTTCTCTATAAAATAGAGATAATAGGGTTGTTATGAGGATCATATGAGTAAATATATGCAAGGTGCTTAGAACAGTGCCTGACACATGGTAAGTGCCATGTAAATGTTAGATATTATTGTTACTGTTTCCCGAATGCCTGCTATGGGTAAGGACCTGTGCTAGAAAAGAAAGATGTTCTTTGCTCTCAGAGAATTCAGAACCCAGTGGAAAGACATCGAACTCCAATATGAAATAGATGAGACACTGCTAATCATTCCAGCCATTTGTTCCTTATAAATATAGATCAATTTGTTTTGCTCCCAAGAGATTGAATAGTGTTTCATGAAGCTGAGGAAAGGAACATAAACCACTTGGAGCTGTTTTAGAACTGGAATTTGTGGGTTTGAAGACACCACCTGGTCTCCTACCCCACAATCATTTGGACATCTGCTTCCCTCGCATTAAACACAGGTCTGGGGAGACTTGGGGTGGCTGGGGGAGCTGGCTTCCTTTTTAGCCTGATGTTCAGGGTTGCCTAGTTACAGGGAAATTTGATTTCATCTTGGGTAGTGTCTGGAAATAAAATTCAAAGAGGGTATTGGAGGGAAAGACTTTTGGGTTTGGAGATAACTGAGAAAAATGAACACTAGCACATCCTTATAAGGAAGAATTTCTAAGGCTACCAGAAGAGAGTAAAACATTCTTTTAAATTTGGATCCCACTGAGATACAGAGGAAAACATGACTGCTCAGTGCAAAGTACTAACTTTGCTTCCAAAACCCTAATGTGAGCGTTTTGTCAGCTGAGATGTGGCCAAATTATTCTCAGTGATGAAGACTTCAAGTCAATACCTCCATAAAATGCTTACCATTCAGTAAAAGTCAAGCACAGCCCCCTGCCCACCACTAGGCTGTTTTGAGCACATCACCAATGCTACAGCTCCATAGTCAGAAATCCTCCTTCCATGTATGATAAGCACTTCCAGGCTGGCCAGTTAGCTCAGCTGATCAGAGTGTGGCCTTGTAACACCAAGGTCAAGTGTTTGGTTCCTCATGCCAGCCAGTTGCAAGAAAAAGCCACAATTAACACTTTAAAAGTCAAATGAATATCTCCATCTGACATGGATTGTGTACCCCAAGTCTGATGTATTAGTAGCTTTATCCCCACTGTGATTGTTAAGATGGTGGGAAATCCTATTATGGTAATTGACAGGTGGGGTCTTGAAGAGGTGATTAGATTCTGAGGACTGTGCCTAGTGAATGGATTAAAAATGGCAGTCATGGGCGTGGTTCTGAGGGCTTTAAAAGAAGTGTAAATGAGGAACTGTCCCTCTCTCTGCTCTGCCATTTTCTACCATGTGAGACTACCGCATTGTGGTAAAGCCACCCCCAAAGAAGGCCTTCATCATAACTGTTGCCTGGACTTTGGACTTCCCAGCCTCCAAAAT